TTGAAGCCAAATTGGTAGGTTGGTATATGTTTTCCGATCAGTTCTTCGAGTCTCTGTTTTAGTATATGTTCCAAGACTTTGCGCAGCACCGGGAGTAATTTGATAGGTCTGTAGTTTTCCATTTGTGTACCGTCTCGTCCATTTTTAGGTATAGGAATTATTACACCACTTTTCCATATTTTCGGAATTTTGTTATTTCTGATGCAGTTGTTGATTTCAGTAAGGATGAGTTTGTGGGTTTCTTCGGTTAAGCTTTTCAGGAGTTTAGCCTTTATTTTGTCTTTTCCCGGTGCTGTGTTTTTGATGTGTGATAGGGCTTCATCGTAAGTATAGTTTGGTGAGTTGTTAAAGTAGTTCAAGTACCAGTCATTGATCATGTTCCAGTTGTCATTGTCGAAGTTAGAGTTTGTCGATATGCTCAACTAAATATTTACCTGGTATCACAGTTTTAAGGGGCAGTGGCAGCGTAATATCCTTTCCTCTCTTTTTCTTCACGGGTTCATCCACTCCCATTTTCAACAGCGTCAAAAACGGATTGTTCTTCCCCTCAAAGTCCTTGGGAGGCGGAATGATCAGGTCCAAGGTGCTTTTTGAAGAAGTCTCATCGCTAGAAGTATCACAGGGCGTGTTCAGCTCCAAATCCATCGCAAAGGTCTGCTTTTTGTTAGAGACACCCTTAACTTGACTCGATCCTTCGGAAAATTCGTTACTAAAATCGGATTGCAAAGATCCTCCGCCAGTGGAAGCGGGCGGAGTTGGGGGGGCTGAGACGCTGGTGGGTGGAGTCGGGGGCAGCTCGACCGCCGGTTTGGGCTCGGAGCTTTTGCCTTTTCCTTCTGATTTCGCTGACACCAGGCGCCGCGGCCTCTTCAAGATGCGATCCCGCTCTCGATTGGTCATGGCTAGTAGTTTTTTGCGTCGCTGCAAGCTCATTTTCTTGAACGGGGCCGTTTTCTTGGCGCACCCCGCTCCTAGATATTGGTCCTTATTGTGCGACGGCTTTGCGATTGAGAAAAGAGGCGGCGGGATTATCTAGAACCACACACAAACTGTCTAGGCTGGACTGAGTGTTCATTCGCCAGTCTTACCCTGTCTTCTTTCTCCATGTCCGGGCTTGGGCAAGGGGATTCGTTCTCGCTGTGGTTCGTCGACTGCTGATAGGCAACGCCCAACATAATATTCCGCATTGCTGAGTCGCTAGAGACAATTTTGCGGTTGTTTGAGTATGTGGGCGGGGCGAGGAACTGCAGTCGCCTAAAACGCCGAAAAGAGCGGTTTAACTATTGAACTAGTAAAGTTCGGGTGATTGCATCGTTTTACCTGTTTCCCTGCCATAACTCCTTCAGTTCGACGTCAGTGATTTTTCGCTGAGGTTGCGGAAGCACGATGCAAGGAACGGGAGGCGGCAGTCGCACTCTCAGCCCCCATATGGTGGTTCGTTTCTTGATTTCTCTGCCACACTTAAAGCGGTTTCTGTTGTTGGTCAGCACAGACAGTATGTTCTCTCTACGCTCTAGCTTGGTCACGTTGGCCATCTGCAACCATCAAGCATCAGCCAATGCCCTAGTCAATAGATTTTAAAAAAATGCTCCCATACCTTTGGTCCTAGCTGAAGGGCATGCCAATTATCACTGATGTAGGGTATCACAACGGTATCTAAATCATAATACTTCTTGCAATGGTGGACGGTCAAATTGAAGAGCATCAAGTGCACCAAGTCCACCCATTTAATTTCCAGTCTTCGGACGAACTCCTTGCCGTGATTACAAATTGCGCACACAAACACATAAAACCTGCCAGTACGCACAATGAATTAGCATTTTCCCTTGACGACATGCATAAATGCCCACCTATCACCACAGTACAAAGGGAATTGCAGACAGTCAATGCACTTCTCATGAAACCATTGCTTGCAGCGGCCACATTGCAGCATCTGCTTGTACCATTCCCCATGGTCGCCGCAATAGCAATAGATCTGCTCCTCGTTTACTCTATGATATGTATCCCAGCTTAAGGTACTTAACTGGAAAAAACACGGAGTTAAACCCTCCAAGTCTGAATTTGAATGAAACGTTCGTTGTTGGTTGAGTTCTTACGTCGTAAAGTAATACTTTAGGTGTAGTTGATGAAGGCATTGTTTCCTGAGTGCTTGACCCTGTGGAGTTCCGGGAATCCCTTCTGAAGGGCGGTTTTGATTCACTTTTCCGCAGTCTATTGGGATCGCTATCGAGGCACCTTTTGCACATCCAGTTAGAATCTGCCAAACAAGCAACAAACTCCGTTAAATGCCGGCGCTTTAAATGGTTAAACTACCTTCTTTCTGACTAGTTATTTCGGGTTGGTGGCATTTTTTGTGATATCCCCGCCCGCATCGATCACACACACTAATCTGCTTTTCATTTTTTGGCGACGACTTCTTACAAATTACACACAGTAGGTCCTCTTGTTCTAAAGCGGTGCTCAGTTTTGTTACGTCCTTAAAGGTCGACCAGTTCTGCGTGTTATCTCCATATTTCACTAAACATTGCTCCCTCACCGCATCCACTTCCACTATAGTGCCGAAATAGTATCTAAAAACGCATTCAATTAAACCCCAAGGCAGCACTAACAGCTGAATGCTTGCCTTCCGTCCTTTTGCTTGGCTAAAACCTCCTGGCCCTTAATAAATTCTAGCAATAGCTTCTCAGCTTGCGTGGTACTATCAGGGGTAACTTCGTCTAGGCATTGCTTTTTGGGACTTTGGTAGCTGTTGCTTCGATGGACTGGAGTCATTTTGCCCAACTGAAACAACGCAAAAGCCGGCTTGAAACATTAACGATCATTTTGTCCTCTTGGAGGCTTTGAATTTCAAATGCTGATTTAGAATAAACGATTTGCTAAAATATGGAAATCGAGACTTGCACAGTATATTGACCTGGGAATTGTGTTGGAATTGCTCGCCTTTTACGTGCCATCTTATAGCCCCACTTTTTGCTATTGGCGTTTGGAAATGAAGATTTGTTAGCATGTTTCAGTCTATTTTTAACAATCAAGGGAAAAATTCAAGGGGGACAAAACATTTCAAAGAACCACTCAATCCTCGTCAACCTGCCAGCTTTAGCAGGGCAATGTAGTGGTGAAATTTGGACTCTAACTGCTAACGTTTCTAGAGATGTGCAAATGGGCCAGGAAGAGGTGTTTGGAGCTACCATAAACAAGCTCCGGGAAAACTGAGAAACTCCACCTGAGAGGCACGGCAAGCGATTCCTGTCTAAAGCCCTCGCTTCACATCAAGATGCAATGAAAAACAGATTGAAAACTTCGGGTTCACTCCAAGAAAAACACATCACACAAACATGTTTCTTGCACCGATTTCTCGGGAGTGGACAACAGTGTGGTGACACCGCCCACTCCGGATTACGACAAAATGGTCCTTAAGGGCCACCACCCTTAAAAGCAACAGGCAATTAGCCCTTGGTACCTTATACAAACAAAAATTTCTAATAGCATCATTTATCCAGATCACACCCGTCAATTTCTGATAAGAATGTTTCTCAGCTGGCACATTCTATTGGGTTTCGTTGGTAAGCGAAGCGCTAAACACTAATCACCACTAAATAGAAACGATGCAAACTTACGGTGGCCGGAAAATCGGAATTTTCTCCGTTCATCTAAATAGAATGGAAAACATATCGGCCATTACCACAGCAAGGCGTTTGTGACTCCCGCCAATTCCCCAAGGAAAAATCACGGATTATCACAAAAACACAAAACACCCGAACTGTCTATCGGTCACTGTGCATTCGCCCTTCGATTCATCGGCAAAATTTCAATTTTTTTCAACAGTTTTGGGCGAAAAACTGCTCTTTTTGCCTAGATTTATTTTGAAAATTAACGACATTACTGGTGATTTAAAGTGTCACTCTCAGATGGCATGATGGACTCGATGACACTGCTCTTCTGATGAACTCCACATCCGATTGTATCACAGGATTTAGTTTTTTTCAACAATTATTTAGGGTTGAGCAGTTGAGGAGGCATCCGAAGTGATTCTGGACTAAATTATGTTAATAATAATTCTAACTTTCCAAACAAATGGAGGCTAAAGAAGAAGAAGCTGACAAAGAACCTTTAACTATGTACGGTTGTGTTTGACATAACCTTCAGAAGGTCTTTTAGCTGAACCAAAATATTTATTTCGGGAAAATGCTCAGAAAACGCAATTTGTTTGTTGTTAAGCAGCATCTAGCAGTCCTGATCAGAAGCTTAACATCTACTGGTAAGTGCCGGCTAGTCCTGGTCACCATTAAAATTAACTGTTAATAAATAAGTTCCACCCAAGATTAGACGAGAAAATAACGAATACGAACCAGAAGAAACAGTCAATTTTTCTGTTGCAGAAGTCTCGTCTGCACTTCGACCGTTCTATTTTTCCGTGCATCCGGATTTATTCGGTCAGCATCCGAAGGAGCGGGCCATTAATGAGACGTCCCTTCAACAGTTGAGCAGTGTACTTCAGTCCTTGCAGACCGCCAAATATTTGCCGCCTGTTACCCTGCCTTTTTATATAAAAAATAGGTTTGTCCCCATTTATTACCACCAAAGTTAGCTAAGTAACATCTCAACTTTTGAAAGAAATGGAAATGTTAACGCACCACTTTTACCCAATCCAATTTACACTCTAGTATGTCTAGTTAATCTGGAAATCTTGTGCTTTTCCGATAGAAACAACCAACATGAAGCAGCCAGACTAATCAAAATATACTTAAAAGGCCGAGATTTGGCGTCAGCCATAGTAAACATTCTGAAAGCTTGCGATTTACCGACCAATCACGTACAGCAGTACATCAAGGCGGAACCGCAGCGGGCAACTGGATTTCAAACCGAAAACATTCGGCAGGATGGAGACGAATGGATCAGAGTCAAGTATCAGAACGAGTACGACTTCACCAAGTTGAACAAAAATCATCCCTTGTATGCAACGTTCGTAATGCAACAGAAAATGAAAGAAGCGCGCGGTGCTCTGAGGTAGATATTTATGCAGTTGCTAAGTTTACTGGTCTAGGGACGGTGCTCATGTGGGTAATATCAAGGCGCTGTTTAGACTGAAGCAATGGCTAGAGCTTCATTTTGAAGATGCGTTAGCAAAGGCCACAAGCGGCAGTGCTTCGAAGGAAGAAATCCAGCGCCTGAAGGTGGAAATGATCGAAAAGTCCAAGCTAAAGGACATCCGGTGGGAATGTGGCTGGAACAGCCAACACTTTCGAGGTAGACTTAATACTACTGTGGAGTGAGTAGGTTGGAGTGATAGGAATTTTTCCTCTAGGTTGCCTGCTCTCGCTCAAGTCCCTCATGGAACAACACCCGCAGCACATGAGACAATTGGAGGATCAGATTTTGGTCTTCTCCTACTTTACAGGCATCAGTTTGGACGGGCATTTGATGCTCTTTAGCGGCGAAGTGCGCCACAACTGGCTGGACTTTATTAAGAACATCCGCAAGCACAAGTTGGCCTTAGCCAGGGTGCCCTTTTACGAAAAGTCCCTATCGCACGTGCTCAGGAACATCAAAGTGAGTACGTTGAATCCGAAACTGGGTTTTGAAAGAACGTTGCTATTAACACTCCCAGGTGAGTCGGCGGAAGTTCATGCCCGATATGAAAGTGAGCGAGTACGAGATTAATCTGAAACAACTCACTACAGCGGTGAGCGACTATTTCGGACGGAACAGTCATCCGAAGAATTGGCCCAATTCGATGGATCACTACGAAATCGTTGTGGAAAGTGAGGCTGGACCCATGATGGTTTCTCCTACTGGACAGTTTATTGTGCCGTCATCGATTCCAGGTAGTTTTGGGCGTTCTGCCTCTACCCGAGCAATGCAATTGTAAAGCTTAACGTTGTCTTCGCAGGTCCACTTCTAATCAATTTCATATCGACAAACTTTGACGATGCAAATGAGCGAATAGACCATTACAAAAAGGACAAAGTAATGGAAAAATCCCTACACCGACGCTGCATGGAAGAGTTGCATCTGGCAGCCCTACTTAAAGACGACAACATCACCCCTGAACTGATGATACAGTTTTGCCAGAAACTGGTGGACCACAAAACCGATCTTGAGAGTGTTATCAAAGGTATGCACGTGAATGTTTCAACGTATTACTCCGTATTGTCCGATGGTGTTGTTTGCATTCCATGGAACTTCGATCTTTGATCGCTACCCGCGATAGAACTTATCTAGCACCTAGATATCTGCATCGAATGAGTTGAGAGTTACCGTTGAATAATCAATTTTTTAAAAACATTGTCAGAATTGTGTCTGTTTTATTAGCATAGAATCTAGGCGGTTTTATCAGATGCGGAATGACTGGGCAATATCGGTTAGAACGCCCAGTAAAAATTGCTGTGATTTTTTTTCGTTAATTAAGTGCCTTGATTGTATGTTACAATTATTGAACCAATGTAGTTATTTTAGTAGATTTGAAAAGTGTGTAGACAAAAAATAATTTTAAGGCAGTTTTTGTTGTATTTATGTAGTCTTACCCCACCAAACCGGTTTATTTCAGTTAGCCCCTGGTGTTACCCGGAAGAAAGGTCAAGACTGGATAATTTTATGACGTCATAGCACATTTCCGAACATAATGAGCCACCCGATCCTTGTACAGTTCCAGATTATCTGACAGCTCAACAGCTGACTTTGAGTTTGAAAGGTTTGTCAACAATGAATTTATTTTCTATTTTTCCCAGAGTTTTTACGAGCATTTAATTTCCCCCCGACAACTGCTAGCAGCCAATGGGCGGAAGAGTCCTGGGTCTCAATAAAGGTTTGCAGTGCAGCGTATATAAAACCCCTACTTCAAAGATCAAGGTCGCAATTTGATTAACACATCATCAAGTACTGATTTAAGCAGCATTGTCCCCATTCTCATGCGATTGGCTAAACGATTTCAACGTGGTTTACCTCAGCGCGAGACAAGTTTGTTTCTGACCTCAGTTCAGTTGTTTTCCGGAAAAACTATCTTATCTCATCGGCTGCGGCTTCCTTTAAAATACCGCAGCAGACTGATTTTGAATCATTTTGACTGCAAGCAGCGATGGCAGGTGAAGGTGCAGTGCTCTCCATGGGGCCCCATACATTGCCAGTCCCGACGGCGCTTTTTGCGCTGAACCGGCAAAGATTGGCTGATGCTCTGAAGAAAACCGCCCCCGATTCCGTAGTTTTGCTCCAAGGAGGCGAGGAAGTTTCCTTTTACGACACCGATACCACCTATAATGTCTTCAGGTAGTTTTCCGATTCTGGCCATTAACAGTTAGGAACTTTCTGAGTTTTCCCGAAGACAAGAGTCTTATTTTATGTGGGCCTTTGGAGTGACCGAGGCTGGCTGCTTTGGAGCAGTGGATGTGAAGACTGGAGAATCCTATCTGTTCATCCCGAGGCTGCCCGAAGAGTATGCAGTCTGGATGGGGCCCCTTCCGAAAACCAACGACTACGCGAAGAAGTACGACATAAAGAAGGTGTTTTATGTGGATGAACTGGAGGTAGAGTTGGGGCGGCTCCAGCGGGCGAAGATTCTAACGCTGAAAGGTACGAGTTTTTTGGGGCTCTGGAACCGTTTAGGGCGTGAATTTGAACGGAAAATGCTTTGCAGGTGTGAATAGCGATAGCGGCTTAACAGCCAAACCGGCCACGTTTGAGGGAATTGAGAAGTTTTCGGTTGATGATGAAGCACTGTTCCCAGTGATAGCCAGTCTGAGGGTCTGCAAGACTGAGCTGGAAATCCGCGTTATTAAATACGTGGTGGCTGTTTCCAGCTATGCCCACAGACAGGTAAGCCCACGCCTTATTCCAGCACTCGCTGAGTCACTTTTCGCCAGTTTATCGCTGATTTTTCCTGTTGTTGGCAGGTTCTTTGTAACGGGTTTAATTTGAGGAAAAATCGTTTATCTAAATCGCTTGGAGGATTATTGCTAATTCCAAATCAATTCTATTCGTGGGTTTCAGTCATTTATTGTCTCTATTTATTAATCAAAATACGTTTCGGTGTATTTCTTCACCATTATCAGTTTTTATAAAATAACAGTTAAAAAAAAA